TATTAATTTATTTATATAAAAAATTAAAATAATAAAATAATATTTTTAACTTTTTGAGGTAAATTATTTTTATATTTTTATATTATAATATGTATTTGCAAAATAAAAGAATAGAATGTGTAGCATATCCCTATTGTATATTCTAAGTGTAATGGTTTTATGTAAGCCATAATATATTTAGAATATTACTATGCCTAATTAGTAATTTATAAGTTTTGTTTAACATTTGATTAAAAAGAACTAAATAACTATAGTTAATTACATTTTTTAACCGTATTTACCTAAAAGTCAAAATTATAAACAATTTAAAATAAAAAAATAATTTTTTAATAATTTTTTTTATAGTATACTTTTTCACGGTGCAATTGATAATTCATAATTTTTCACGAAGGGCATGACATAATATATAATATAGAATTATACGTATACTTGTATAAATTAAATTCTAAAATGTTTTGCGCAATCGACCGACGCCCATTTCGTTTTTTGTTTGGTTGGGATTTAAAAGTTTCGAGCAAATAATAGACCACGATACATCCGTCAGTAGGTTTAGGTACATGGGGCTTTTACACCACCATCACGATCGTATTACATTAGAGAAGGGTTAAATAGTGCTGCGGTCACAAAACCTTTTGCGCTCAACGCTGCGGCGGCGAGGCAATCAGATCCATGATGTTTGCCCAAAACCCGGACGTACAACAAGTATATACACGCCCGGAATTAATTCGCGTGACCTCGATATCCACCCCCAAAGGCATGATAAACTAGCTACGTGTACAACAGAAGTGGCGGCCGTGGCAGCATAACAGCGATCATAATATACAATATATACGAGAAGCAATATATAGTGATGGTCATATGTACGTCGTAGATCCCGAAAACCGCCGTCATTAATGGTACTCCATCACGTTAATTTCGCCGGATTGATAGGGAATTATTGTAGCGAGACAATGGGATACACTTTTATTCCCTCTCGATCCCACCGCCGTCCCCGTGTGATTAATGGTCGAATGTTTTGACAAACCCCCTAGTGCACGCCGTTCTAATTGAAGGCCGGCTTGACTTAAGGGTTACGGAGTGCTGGTAATACGTGCTAAAATTGTCTAGTGCTTAAAACCGGACGTACGCTTGTGTAGAGGCGAAATATTGCTGGGAAATATAATATTTCATGTATAATAATATAGTATAGTACCTGCCTATAACATAATAAATACATATTATAGTATAAATGTATAATACATTAATACCAGATTCATTTGATTAACAGATTAACCGTTTACCTATTATACTGCTGAAGTCGATAACGTATTAAGACAATAATATATAAACTACTTCTGTTTATTATTATAGTAAGTTACAACGAGTTTGGCTTTTACAATCGCTCTGTATTCGAATTTCCTGTATCGACCTAAGATGAATTGCAAAAAATCACCAACCCCGCTCTGTAAGTTGTTATTATTATAACGCCAACACTATAATACGTCGTTATGACACGCCGTCTTGAAACCAATAAACATTGTCTGTATGACTCTCTAGTATTTTATTCGGACCGATCGCCACTTATCCCTTGGGGGAGGGCACGGGGTGTGCATCAATGAAATCAGTTAATAATAATCCGCAGAGGGGCCTAGGAGGGAACCAATATAATGACCAGTCATTGCACAGATGTTGATTATATATATCATTATGGCTTCCAGAGAGTCAGACAGGTGACGCGCTACTTACTATATGTAGCCAACAATCAACCGGTATGTTTTTTTTTTGTTATTGTTGTTGTTGTGATTAATTGACGAACGGATTAAAAATATTGTTTACTCATCGAGATGAAACACACTACTCTAATGATATTTGAGGTCAATACCCATATTTGTTCAGTACAAGTTGCATAATTTATGCAACAGGGTTTATTTTTCATTACGGTGCATTTGTTGTTTTTATTTTTAATTCAGTAATCAATTTGGTGTGTATTATAGTTTACATTATAATATGCATGCACTATACACACAAACACGTACATGATATATATTAAATATTATTTCATTAAACGAGAAATAAATTGACGAATAATATTGGTTTCTAATTTAAAACCGTTACTATATGTCTATATCTATATAATATGGTATAAATGGACGATGGATATGCAATTAACTAATTCAACCAATATAATATGTTAATATGATTCATGTTAGGCCGTTAGGGAAATGTATAACAACAGTTAAAAGCTACAACAAATATTAAGCTATAGATACCACCTTTATTATAATTCATATATTGTTCTAGAAAAGTATAATTTTAAATGTAGGTAACAGCTTTTTTAAGTGAACCTTCATTACAAAGGGTACGAAAAATAAGATTATTGCCCGTCACTGTCGGCTGTCACGGTTTTAATATTATTTTCAGCACCTATTAAAATGATCTATGATGGTACTTTGAAGTCCTTCAAAGAATAATGTTGCTTGATATATCTATAAACAAAATTGTAATGTGTAATAATAATTAACATAATAATTAGGTTTAATCATTTTTCATCAAAATATGTAATTGAATTAATTCTTTTTTGTGTTTGACATAACTTTTTGGGGGCAGTAAAAATGTTTCGATTTTATACTTCAGCATATTTTCTGGTAGGAAAGTGAATTTAGTTAGTATTTGGGTATAAGGGGGGAGAGGGGTTGGTCAAAAGTAAAACATTTCCAATAGTTTTCGAAAGCGCTAGGAAAAACAAAAAAAACAGTAAGGAGAAACGTAGATTATTTTTACGCAAAGGCAGTTTTTAACAAAATCGATTTTGATTTTTGGTGTGAACTCCTAAAAATAATAATCATAGATACATTCGAATTTCATAGAATTGTCTTATATTGGAATTTTCTATACAGCAAAAATATTCAAAATATTTTAACTATTTTTGAGCTATTTATAGGTATAACAAAATTTAAATTTTTATTAGGTTTTTTTTTATTATTGCCGATAAAACATGATATTTACATTTGATGAGCCAAGTTTCCTTGATATATTTCTTAAATTTATTTATTCTCTTCATGTTGTTATTTACTAATTTGTTATTATTAAATTACCTTCAATACTATTATTTATTACGATTTACTGTTACAAACATAGGTTTATTTTTCTAATACTCCCGTGTATCGTGACGTCGTTTTTGTTTATTTTTTATTTTTGTAGTTTCGAAACGTGTTACTTACATTTCTACCGAAGAGTTGAAGACATCACTTGATACACTCTGTATACTCTCAGAGTGTGATGTATTTAGATTACGGGTTGAAAACTTTTCTTTGGCTATTTTTGTTTTTGTTTTACTATATGAGCCGGCGAGTTAGAGGTTTCATTTCGCATACTACGTTATCGTTCCGAGATTGCCACGGCTCCTCACCGGCTCGGCTATCACGGCTGTTCGAAGTACGCAGATAAGCTAGCCTAGTATAATTTGAATGCAATTATAATTACCAGTTTTTTTCTGTGTGAGTGTTGATATTGTCATATTATTTGTTGTAATTTTGATTACATTTTGATGTAATTTTAATTTTTAAGTTAAATTTGGACGAAATTATATTTTAAATAACCAATAGAATGATGATTTTAGTTGTTTTTTTGTAATTATATAATATTAAATCAACTTACCGGCTACTGTATTAATAAGTAATAACAATATAAATATAATATAAAATATGCTAAACTGACAAACCTCCGCTCAGAATCCTTTTTCATATACAATGATATTATTTCATTGAATTCAAATTGAATACCATCCATCACAGTGACCCACTTGTAACCTACTGGTCCTATTGTATACTGTACAGCAGAATGACATCCACTTACCCCCTTTTTTTATTGCATTTTTAAATTTAAATAAAAATTTAATTTAACGTGCGTAAGCTTCGAATATAAAAATAAATATTAACGAATTAGATAACAAACCATTATGTTGGTAAATAATTTTTTAAAGTGTCTCCAGTATAGTTAAGTTTTTGTGGTGTACGGTGTACGACACTTGACCTTTTGAGTTTTAACTATTAAATTATACGGTATATGGTAAATTATAAGAAATCAGAATCAGAAATTATTACCTAAAAGTAACCAGTTTCTCATGGTCCACGGTATAGATTGAGTAATAACTAATAATTTACTTAATAACTTCCAGTTAGTTGTCTTCGAAATTCATAGGTTCATTCTATTGAGGCGTTACAGTAGATGGAATAGGAAGTAAGCATAAAACTATGTAAATTGTATTTGAAAACAACCAAAATACTAAACACAAAAATGACTGGATGATTAATACATTTTTGGTAGTAATTCTTTATAATTCATAAAACACCTGATCACCTATTCATAAAATGTATTCAGTATCAAAATGTTAAACCATACGTCCTTAAGTAGTAGGTATAACCAAATAGGCGAGCGGACAGGGCATGTCTTGTGTGGCGTAAATAACAAAAAATAATCGTTATTCTCCGTGTTTAAATATCCAATTGTGTCTAAATTTAGACTCATAATATATATTAAAAAACTGTGTTTAAATAATTTTTACGTGTTTTGGTCACAAAAAAAATACATGGATAAAAGCGTAATACATTTATCACCATTAATCTAAAATTAGTGACATTCAAACTAAAAATATAACCGTTTTTCATGATCAAGATTTAATGATCTGCCATTTAGTGAAATAAAATAAAAACATTCCAATAATGCTATTGGAAATAAAATACCTTATAGGTTTTATATAAAAAAAAATATTTAATACATATACAGGGTGATTCGCCAAGCATACTCAGTCCTCACTCTCATTTTTCATTTCATAATGAATCTATTCAATTCTACAATAGCGTTTTGGAATTTATTAATATTACATAAAATTGAAACCAATTGAATTATTCAACACATACATTTATTTTTGTTAATCAATACAATTTACATCACTGATTGATTACTAATCAGGCATTCAAGCTAATAATTAAATCACGCCTAAAATTTTTCTTACTGCGGAACTAAAGTGAACGGCGTCTAGGCTTAACCGTGTTCTCGGTTATTACCACTTTGTCCTGCTGGCCCGCATTAACGACTGCAGGCATCGCCACATAGGGTTCTGTCAGGGTCTCAAATTCTGTTTGTACTACAGCTGTATCATGAGGTGCTTGTATTTCCAATGAAGGGGTCATCACATCGATGTTTGGCATTGAAAAAAACCGTGTCGTAAGTTGACCTTCAGCGTTACCACTCACACGTATATTGGCCTCAACTAAATCCATTTCATCTAGTGAAGCCGTGATACAAGAACGCCATCTGGGTTAAACCGCCTTCACGGCTACCACAGGTCCATTGTCGCAGCATCACCCAAGACTACACACTGCACGACTGGCGGCTCTGCCACTTTGGAATCTGCCTGTACTGCCGTGTCATACTTGCATTTCTATTTCAGTGGTCATCACTTAAATGTATCGGTAGTACAGGTACCACCACAGGGTCCGTCGTCGCAACATGCGTGTCTTGCAGGTTAGGACAAACGACTGGCTCACTGAAATCGGTCGATACTTTTCTGCAGTTGGATTTATGGTCGTGAACGGTGATCGTATTTAGTTTTCGCTGCTCATCACCCTAACATTTTGTCTGAAAAAGCAGGGTTTTTCCAGTAGACTTGCAGCGTGATTGACTGCACGTCTCTTGGCCAAATGTAAATGCACAGCGTTAGAAATAGTTGAAAACATGATAATAATAATATGACAATAATAACAATTGGTTAGCTATATAGGTAATAGTTATAGACAATAATCAATTCGTTACAATAACAAACACTAAGCAAATTGTAAGACGAATGACAAATTTTCCATTCCATGGAAACTTAATTTGTATGTTAGCCACATACTATGTCTTAAATAGATAAAATAATAATAATATTAATAATCGAATTTTACAAGTAAATAAAACTGTGCCAAATTATACAGTAGGAAATTTTTAGGCTAGTGATTTTTTTAAAAAAATGTAAGGAAAAAATGGATGCGAGCATGCTTGGTGAAACACCGTCACCGTGTATACCTACATTATGTATTCTATTAATTAATATTATCACGAGGGTTTATTGTTAGATGCAAAACTTGGGTGCATGTCATATTACACTCAGAATCTATATCTTAGGATTTATATCATACACTATGAATGAAGTGGATGAACCCATTTTCGCTATAATTTGAAACACATATTAGCGACCAATCTCTATATTATTCTATATATTCTCAATCTCTATATTATTTATTATTTAATATTGCAGTTATCAATATTCTGTAAATACGCAAAAAGAAATTTGTATAAAAAAAAAGGTGGGCAAGTGGGTGTCGATCTGCTGTACAGAAAGTTACAAGTGGGGCACTGTAATGGATGGTGATAAATTTGAATTCAATGATAAGAAACTGTAAATGTTCAAAACAGTTCAAAACACATAAAAATATTTTAATTACTAGTTATAAGAACTAATAAGTAATAAATAATAAGGAACTTAATATTAAATTGTCAAGCTTTTTTTATCCACAAATAAAAATTTCAAATGTCCATAAATAATACAAAATGATCCAAATAATTATTGAAAATTACATCACGTATAGAAAATATCAATATAAATATTTAGTGAAAAATGCATGTCTCTACAGTCTGTTTTTAGTGATTAATTATATTATTATATTATATTATTTGTATTATAGAAAACAAAATCGATTTTTTCAATTATCAATTTTGCAATGAAGTGATTACACCAAATTATCGTAAATAATCATCCCCGTAGAAAAAGGCAAGAGCTAACACTGCTATTTTTCATTGAGCCGCCTTTTTTGTAGATGCTGTAAAATATAAATTAATAGCAAAAGTAACTAATTTTTTCAGAAACAATATTTAATATGAATACCTACTTATTAATCCAGTCAATTCATTTTGTTTTATATAAGTTTATTTATATTACGTGAATAATCTTTATTAATTATTTCATTTATATTTACAAGATAGTAATGTTTTTTTTTGTATTTGTTTATTAAGATAATCTCTGCATTTAAGCAATAAACTGATAATTATATCTATTTTTGTTTAAAAATTATTTGTGTATTTTGTAAAAAATAATAAATCACATTTGAGTTTACAATATTAAAATCAATTAAAAACTTATATTAATAAAGTCAATACCTAATAAAATGTTGCATTATAAAAATATTACCTCGTTCTTCAATTAGTGAACCATTAATTCTGCATTGCACTAATACAGGGGTCTCCAAACTACGGCCCGCGGGCCGGATACGGCCCTCGAACAAGTTTTAACCGGCCCGTGGCCCGCATAGGATGTATAGGTAAATAAAGATAAAAAAATTATTTAAAAAATGTATTTATATTATATTATATTTATACCTATTTATTTTTATTTAAGTATATTGTAAAGTAAACAATATTCTATACAATAATATAAAGTAAACATATTATTTATATAGGTACCTATATTATTATCATAAAGTTAAAAATTATATGTGTTAATAAACTTTTGGCCCGCTAAGAGCATTTGATTTTTTTTGTGGCCCTTGAATAAAAAAGTTTGGAGACCCCTGCACTAATATATCGGCAGGGGGATTTGACCGTAATTTCAAAATAAATTAATTCATTTTTTTATTTTTATTTTTTTATTTTTTTAATTCATTTAACAGTGTAAAGTTGCACAGGGTGGTAGTTATTTAGGTTGATCTGCACCTTCTTCATCGTCTAAAATAAAAGGGATTAAGTTGTACAGTTATAATATACTAAAATTGTAATTATTTTTTTAAGTTATAGTTCTACTACTAATATGCAACTGAGTCTTACGTTAATGTTGTAGTAGTTTTGGGTCGTCACTGCATTATAATCTGAATCAGTGAAAACCAGTTTTCTTCTTACTTCTTTCTAAAATATTAAATACATATTAATAAATTATAGTTAAATGTAATATACAATAATATAGACAAGACATCTTATGAGTATACAATAGACAATAGTACATTTCATATTAGCTACTTAATCAATTGAATAACTAAAAAATATATCATGAATAAACAATAAATTACTATTTTATATTATTTACCTTTTTTGTAATCTTAACTTCAGAATTATTGCTTGACTTTGATTGCTTAAACAAAAATAATATTTGATATAGTATAATAGTAGGTTGTAGGTATACTATTGTGCATTATAAAAATATTATCTCGTTCTTCAATTAGTGAACCATTAACTTTGCATTGTACTAATATATCGGCAGGGGATTTGAAATTACGGTAACGTAGTACCGTAGCCCCGGTTTTAATTCATTTAACAGTTGCACAGGGTGGTAGTTATTTAGGTTGATCTGTAGAGTACCCCTATACCATAATATAACTATAAATACTATTTTTTCTACATCGGCATCAGATTAATTTAATCTTAAATATTCATTAGAGCATAGAGTATACATAATAATATATATATTCCACATTATTACAATAATTACAATTTTAGTATATTATAACTGTACAACTTAATCCTAAATACTATACCTTAATACTAAATTCTGAATTGAAAATTTGAACTTATTTGATGTTGGCAAGGTCGGGTTATCATTCTTTTTTTTTTTTTTTTTTTCCTCGCCCCTATCCCTGCCCATTTACGATGTCTATCAGTTATTTCAAAAGGTACTTTTTCCCATGTAATTGGTATAGGCGATAAATATAGCATTTTTCCAAAACGCACCATTTCAAAATATTCAAATGAGTTAATGATATAATTAAACATTTTAATAAAAGTTTTTATTTTATTAATTCACAAAATACTGTTATCAACCAAGTGGTGGGACAAATTGTTTTCTATTTCAGGGGAAGTGTTGTCGTATCTAAAAGTTGTTTTCGTGTGCCTATCTGATAAACATCGTTAGATGTTTAAATTTGGATCACGTGAGCGCCGAGCAGTCACGCAATAACTATTATTGTGTTTTCCCATAATATATTACTCTATTTGGTAATCGTTAATAGAATAATATAACCAAAAAAGTTTGATTACTATTTTAAATATTTGTAATGACTAATGTGTTGTAACTTTGTATATTTTATTGCACAATGAATATATCTACCTAAATACAAGTTATATTTTTTTTAAATACCTACTTACGAGCGTCATCTCAAAATGTCTAAAAGAAGCCAGCGTTTGGTCACTTTTGCAACCGCCAAGGTAAGCAGTACTATTTAAAATAATTTATAGGTACCTACCTACCTATCTGTTTAAACTAAAATTTGTTTTGTATTGCATGAGTACAATAAATTATTATTATATGTAGGTACCTATCTATCTTAGGTAGGTATAAATAAATAAACATACTGATTTCGATGCAAAAAACCTAATATGTTTTTCTACAACATTAAATATGATAATATTACTATCTTCAGTATTATTTTACAGAATAATATTTATAACAATATTACATTACACATTTATAACATCTTCTCCCCTTTTTGTTTTAGAATACGTCATCTTCAGTAAAAAAAAATGAAACATTTTTTCCACGGCAGTTATTCAATGAAAAATATAAAGAGAAAAAAAATAATACTCAATATCGTACTCAGCTAAATTCCACTGCAGAGGTAATAACAATATGTTAATATTATAATATATTATTCATTTTATCACACCTATAAATTATATTGTATTAGTTGTATTTTAATAATTAAAATAAATAATAAATTATTCTTTATTAGTTAAATGTGTTTTATTAAATTAATGACAACCATGTGCACTGTGCATGCTATAACAGTATTATTATTTATTTTAATTATTAAAATACAAAAGTTTTACAATTTTATTATAATATAATTTAATACCTTTGAATTATATTTTATTTGTTATGTATTACTTTTTTATTCTAATACAATTAAAATATTCTAATTTACCATATGAAAATATTTTACAGTAGGTATCTGAACATTCTAGTCATTGGCAATTCCCTTTACTTAATGAAGCACAAACAAGTAACAATAATTATGTAAGTTCAAATGGAAAACAATTTATTATTTTACTATTATTCAGTTATATAGCATATCTTATATTTTGTAGGATGATGTACTTGACATTGAAAATATGGATTTTGTTTGTCTAAACTATAACAATCAAGAAGAAAATAATGACCAGTCTTTTAATACATCACCAGTTGTAGTCATTGAAATTCTAGGCCTTGCAGGTACTTCAACAGCAAATACTTCCATTGAAACACCAAATAACATATTATTAAATAATGACTTAAATGTTCCATCAAATGATATTATAGCTGAGCTAAATAGAGAGTTTGGGATCAAGTACAATATTATCATATTACATAATACAATGTTTTTATTAATATTTATTTTGAATAATTTTGTTAGAAACACCATATGAAACCTATGATAAAGTTGAGGTATCTATAAAAGCCAAATTATTAAAACTCCATGACGGTCAGATGGTTTTAGACTATTATAATTCAGTCGGAAGTTTAAATGAGTCTATGAGAAACAAGTTATACTCAGTTATAATTAAAGACGAACTTTTACAAAATAACAATTTTAAAAAAAATAGTAGGTCAAGATTTATAATGCTTGCAAAAGGTTAGTTCATATAATTTCTAGTCCAGGCATAATTTTTAATAATATATTTTGTATAATTGTAAATATAATTTTATAGGTATAGAAGAATTGTTTCCTTGTGAAACACAGTACACATATTTCATTGGATATGCAAAAGAAGGAAACAGTGTTAGTCCAAATAGGGGAAAACTCTATGATAAATATTGTAACATACAACGGGATATTCATAAAATATCATTAAAGCCAAAGCTGGCTACTGTTAAAGACATAGGTATAGGTCTCAATGAAAAAGGTTATTAATTATTATAAATAAATAAAATTAAAATTAAGTAATTGTTTACATCTTTAATATATTGAACAAATTCATAGTAGGTAAGGTACTTCAAATAAAATAAAATAAATAAATTTTATTATTTAGATTTTTAAGAATCATTAAATTGGTTAAAGTATAACACAAATCCAGATTACCAACTACTTCAGTTTTGGAAAAAAACCGCACCTTATAGACTTAACAAGGAAAGAGATATAAATTGTTTAGCTAAATACCCGGGTTTGTCAAAGCCTGTAGGACATTTGTTAGTTAGTACTTATTATTTTTATTTAGCTACCCAATTATCATTTTTTTTTTTTTTTTTTTTTATTGTGCTATTAAATACCTAAACTATATATTTTAGATTGATATTGATTTTGAAGAATTATATCCTAACAAAGGAATGTCACTTTTTAATAAATTTGATTTCTTCAAGCAAAAATTAAAGATTTATGTACAAAGAAATAAAATTAATTTGGGTGCTCAAGATACTTTTTTAAAAAATCAATTAATGAACTCTAGAATACCAGGCAATAATTTAACTAAACTATTAGATCATATCAATGGATTCCTTATATCTAATTTTTTGTTTTTAAAGGACAAGACGACTTTGCTGCTATAAAAATTATACCACTGTTATTTCAATCGGTAAATGTTGTTATAAAAAATGGGAATAAAAATCTAAAATCAAAGTTTTGGAGGCCTTCCAAAATCGAACAAGCTTCAGCTTTTGTGATCAGCATTTCGGTATATTTATTTATTTAATTTTATTTTGTAACTCACTGATGAATAAAATATTTAATATTTTATTTATAACTGTTGTGTATTAATATTTAATAATGTTTTAGAATGCAAATGAGCTGAAAACAATCCAAAGCAACAAAGTTGAAAAGGCATTTAACTATGGACTAACTGTGTAGCATTGTATTCATTGGCAGTGACGAAGAAAATGATACAGATTGTTTTACAGTGGTAAATGATATACATTATAAAATTAAAAATATAAATTAGAGAGTCCAGTTACAGCCTTGGACGTATGCTTCAAGTCTTTTCATACATTTAATTTAAAATACCCTCTTGAAGCTGAACAAATTTGGTATTTGATTCAAAACATTTTTTTTTGATATAACTGGGCCCAACAAGAAGTTTTTGGCTGTTCAAAGTTTCATGAACGATTTCAATAATTTTAAATAACTCATTTATTCTATTAAATTTTTGTATAATATACTTATTAAGTTTAAATATGCCTAAGTGTTTTTTATGTTTTGAACAATTTCAGGCAGTTAGTCACCTGATGATACATTTAAATATGTTCCACATTGTTAATAATATTAAAGAGTTTAAATATTTAGAGCAGAATTGTTTTAGAAGTTTCAGTAATTTAAATTCTTTTAAGAAACATTTAAATGATCATCATTTAAATTTAATTTTTAATAGTATTGATAAAGTAGTTCATACTTATTGTGAGTTAATACCACCTGCTGTTTCAAACATTTCTCCCAATAGCAATGTTAATATTAATGTAGATCAAACAGGGGCGTACTCAGGAATTTTCAATGGGGGGGGGGGGTTGAACATTTTGTTTTTTATCACGGGGACTTTGTCACCTCCTTTTTAAAAATATTAAATATAAACATGGTAATGTACTCTACAGAAAATAAATTTCAAAAATGAAAAATGTTTATTTAAAGAACAATATTCCGATTCCGATTGATTAACGTGTTCATGTTTTCTTTTAAGATTATTGTAGGGTTCAATGTACTTAGAACTTCCAGGCACACTAGTAAAAAATGTTATTATTTTATTTTTATTTTTATTTTTTGACTTTAAGCGTTTATGGAAAAAGAATAAATACTTAAATTTTAATACTATTATTAATATTTTTCAAAAGTATATTAAATTACTATACATTTTAATAATTAATCTGTGTGAAATAGTACAAGTAATTTTAGTATATACCTAATTTAGAAAAAACAATTTATAATTTTGATTAAGGGGGCCTTGACAGTTTTACATTAAATTTAGGGAGCCTCACGACAAAAAAAATTGAGAAATACTGTACTAGATTATAGTGTAAAATATCTAAATATAATAAGTATAACTAGCTGTCCCGGTAAAAGATCATGCTTTTAATGTTGCATTTCAATTTGAAAACTACATATTATACATTTTTCACTGTTTATTTTTCTAACATAATTTATATTTATTGAAGAAATATATAAACAAATTTTTTGACAAAGGTTGGTTGCTCAATACACAGTCAAATATTAACTAAATATATCATAACGCATTATGTCAAAACAAGAATAATATTCACTTACCAAAGAAAAAAATGAGCAAGGTGCTAAAAACAAGAAAACACCAAAAAAACTAAACAATTTTTCAAAATTAGTTTGAAGTTTATAAGATAACTATTATTGAATAATATTATAATATAAATAATATACCTAATCATAAAATAAAATATGCAAAATATTTTAAACATGTTTTTAGTTTTTTATGAGCACTAGAAAATAATACTCCACCCTACCAGACTACTATTAGAATTAGGAGTAGAATCATAATAGTTTTAATTTAATTTAAAGATTTTAAGAAGGATGCAAATATCCAAAGAAGTGACTAAATTATACATAATATTTTTTTCTAATTGATGTCTACTCGATAAAAATATTGCCAATGAATAAAATGCAAATGTAATGTATAATTACAGGCTCCAAATTTATTATACCAACTCAATTAAAAAAAAAAAACTTTTTATGATTCAATGTTTTTGTAAATACTGACTTCAATTTTAAAAAATATTAACATTTTAATTCTGAAGTTTTAAGACATTTTGCATTTAACAGAATGAATATACAGGCCTTCGTAGGACAAGAAGCGCGCTCTGGTGACTATAGAACTGTGGTAATATTTTCAATCAAGAGTGTATACGTATAGGGGTCCAGAGTGACGACAACTTATCAATACACCTTGTATGTTTGATTAAAATTTTATCTGGTTATCATAATATAGTTCTTAACAGATAATGCTTGTAATCGTTGTATAATGCATGTTGATATAAAATTGAAAATAAATATATTTGTTTATTTTTTCCCTTCTTAAAAATTTTTTTTTAGAAAATTACTCCTGTGAATTATATTATGTATAAACAAGAACGCACAAAAGTGCATCGGTTAGTAAGGTCATGGGAGGGGTTCAAACCCCACGAACCCCCCCCCCCCCCCCCCCTTGAGTACGCCCCTGAGATCAAAATATTGAATCAGTAGATGACATAGGTAAAAAAATAAATTTATCAAAATAGTATTGCTTTGATTTCTAAATGGTATAGTTACTCTGGTTTACTTAGAAAAACAGTTCAACAATTGATTGATGATTTACTAGAGTTTAATAGTATGATTTTATCTATTTTGAAAGAAAAGATAAATCAAGTAATAAGCGTATGTAACGATGATAATATTGGCAATGAGCTATCACAAATTAAAGAGATAATTTTAAATATGGGTTCACCACTTGAGAGTATGCAAACTGAATATTTAAGACTACAGACACTTGATGAACAGGGCCTTTTAGTTCGACCTGAAGAAATATCCATTGGATACAGGCTTAATGATAGATTATGTAACGGTAGAGTAGTATTGGAACCAAAAGCAGTTAAAATAAGTGTAATTCCTCTTAGATTAGTTTTCAAAAAATTCTTAGAACACAGTAATATGTTTGAGATAATACTAAATTATATATCTTATTTGAAAACAACTGAAAGTGAGTTGATATCTAGTTTTCTACAATCACAATTATGGAAGGAGAAATTAAGAATGAATCAGAACAAAATAATTTTACCTTTGTTTTTGTATTTTGATGATTTCGAAGTGAACAACCCTTTAGGTTCTCATGCTGGTTGTCAAAAGCTAGGTGCTGTATATGTTTCATTATCATGTTTACCACCTGAGTTATCTTCTTCGTTAAAAATATATTTTTAGCTTCTCTATTTAAAAGTGATGATAAAAAGTATTATGGAAATCATAAAATTTTTTTATAATCTTATAACAGAACTAAATTATTTAGAAGAGACAGGAATCACCATAAACATAAAGAACATATCACATCAAGTATATTTTTCCTTAGGATTAATTTTGGGATATAACCTTGGATTACATTCAATTTTGGGTTTTTCAGAAAACTTTATTGCGAGATACCCGTGTCGTTTTTGTAAATGCAGTAAAACTGAATGTCACTATCAACTGAAACAAAATGACAACTGTCTAAGAAATTTGAACAGTTATAATGTAGATGTAATGGCTAACGATTCTTCTCTTACTGGTATAAAAGAAATGTGTACATGGAATGATGTTCATTCATTTTCTGTGGTTAATAACTTTAGTGTAGACATTATGCACAATTTATTAGAAGGTGTTTTTAAGTATGATTTAGCTCTTATATATTAAATCACTTAATATTTTATAGCAAATATTTCTCATTAGACAATTTAAATAATAGAATTGAAACGTTCAATTATGGACCAGTTGATATACGAAATGGACCAACATTAATAACAGAAGACAATCTTAAACGACAAAAGACTATAAAAATGACAGCAAGTTAAATGTTATGTTTTAGTAGATACCTTGGGCTAATAATTGGAGATTTAGTTCCTTCAAGTTCACAATCCTGGTCGGCTGGTCCTTATATTTATTGTTAAAACAAATTTTAGATATAACATTAAGTAAAAGTGTTCGGCTAGGGGAAGCAATTTTGCTTAAAACTTTAATTTCTGATCATCATGAGCTATATTTAAAATTATTTAATGTGCACTTGAAACCAAAACACTATCCATCTATAATCGAAAAGTCAGGTCCTTTATCTCTTTTTTGGTCAATGCGTTTTGAAGCGAAACATAAGGAACTAAAAGATACTGCTAACTCGATTACCTCTAGGAAAAATATTGTTTATACATTGTCACTAAAACAGCAACTTCAGTTGGCATTTAGATTAAGTTCACCAAAAAGTGATGTTTATACCATTCCTATAAAGATAGGAAAAATAATTAAATAACCCCGATTCAAGCTTGAAATGTATAATACTAAAACACAATTTGTATCAATTCCATTTAATTGTATCTCTGAAAAAACTATATTTGTATCTAAGGTTAATATAAAAGGTACTGTGTACAATAATACAAATATGTCAATCATAGTTAATGTTTCTGATGAAGATAATTTATTGCCTACTTTTGGTTTAATTAAATTAATTTTTATTACTGAAAATAATAAACCATATGCTATTGTAAAATCGTTTATTAGGTACAAATTATTTTGATGAACATTATCAAGCCTTTAATGTATCATTTAACAATGTTACAGATTTTTTGTGCGTATCTCTAGAAGATATAGGGAATATTAATCCTACTCATCATGTAGTACTATCTATAATGATATGGTTTTTATATCTGTAAAATATTAAATAGGTATATAGGTAATATTATAGGTAATATTATATTTTTAAATATACATTAAGTTTTTATTATTATACATATAATATGTTGTTATATTAAGTTTTGGAAAATAAAATGAATACCTAACTGTAATTATTTTGTGTTATTTTCTTTATTTAACAATAATTGAATAATTAATCCTAAATTTGGTTATAAATTAGTTGATACTTGATGTCATAAATATTTAAAAAAACATACAAATGTACTTTATACTTGTTATCATTAATAACCTAAATATACCTGCTAATAATGTATTTGGAAAAGCAATACATTTTATGTAGTTACAACCATGTAGTGATATAATTTCGTAATGTTTGTTAGAGGGTTGTGGTGACATCTATTTCATCTTTTTATATAAATAACTAATAACAAAAAAAAAATGTATGTTTTATTAAATATGGTGTTGTAAAAAATTAATCTCATAGGGTGGATATTATGTCACCCACATCCCCCATGTAATACACTGCTGGGTTCAACTAATTACATAGTAAGTATAACTATATAGTTACAATTAATAATAATGTTGGAGTAACTACACATTCTATGTAGTTAGTAGTTACAACTACTAATTATGTCGGATCAACTACACATTTGATTTAGCTACAACTTATATTAATGTTAGAGTAACTACACATTCTATGTGGCTTTTACTAATAAAATAGTTGGAATAACTACACATTTCCTGTAACTTCAACTATATGTCATTTAGTAGAATTAACTGTAATATTTCAACTAATGTATAATAGTACTATCAACTATTAAAATAGCTGTCCTATATATAATTATAAATTACAGTTAAAATGACGATAATTGTTGTTATTCTGACCATGATATAACTAAGTTAGTTATATCATGATTCTGACTAGATAGTTTTTTCCTTGAATAGCGTGGTAGATTGGGGCACAATTGCACAAATGTGCCGAATGTGGCCCGAATATTCACAATGTGGATGGTCAAAAGATACTTCCATTTTATTTTTATTATTTATTATTTAATATTGGTATCAATATTCTGTAAATATGCAAAAAAAAATTTGTATAAAAAAAAGGTGGGTAAGTGGGTGTCGATCTGCTGTACAGAAGGTTACAAGTGGGGCACTGTAATGTATGGTGATAAATTTGAATTCAATGATAAAAAACTGTAAATGTTCAATACAGTTCAAAACACATAAAAATATTTTAATTACTAGTTATAAGAACTAATAGGTAATAAATAATAAGGAACTTAGTATTAAATTGTCAAGCTTTTTTTATTCACAAATAAAAATTTCAAATGTCCATAAATAATACAAAATGATCCAAATCATTTTTGAAAAGTACATCAAGTATAGAAAATGTCAATATAAATATTTCGTGAAAAATGCATGTCTCTATACAGTCTGTTTTTAGTTATTAATTTTTGAATTATAGAAAACAAAATCGATTTTTTCAATTATCAATTTTGCATATTCCAGTTAGATATCCCCCAGGATATTTTAAAAAATAAGTATTCCACGAATATAAATACCATAGCATCGGTCGTCCGCGATGATAAATAAATCGTTTGGGACGGTCTTTGTCGTCGTAATATACCTACATATAATTGTTCATTACAATATACCGACCTCCAGCTCCATCGGGGGGGCACTATTTAGGCCGCCACCGCCGCCCGCCGTGAACCATAATAATATTATAGTGCAGGACGTTCTAAATATTATCATATACACACGCAAACACTCACACCACCCATATATTATTATAATACGCGTTAAACGGAGACGCGAAAATAACGACCTGTTTAAAATATGCAAGCTCAAGTGTCTGCGGAATGGGCGGCGTCGAACTATGCGTATATATAATAATAATAAATACAAATAACAACAATAATAATGATAATATATTCGGCGAGGATGCGGGCTCGAGAGATTGTCGTCTTCGTCGCGCGCCGGCACGTCGTTTAGGGGTTGACCGAGTAATAAAAGTCTACGGAAAAAAAAAATACCGAAAAAAAGGTCATTGTTTCGCGTTTTCCGAGCGCGAAATCATCACCCTCGAGCCCGGTCCGACGAACGGGTTATGAGCCGCGGATGACGTCACCTCACCCGCATCGGTGCGGTGGAGCGCGCTAGAGAATGTTCCAGGACGGGGTGTGATGTGATGTAGAGAGGGTGAGTGGGTGTGTGACCGGGTGGGTACAGTATGGGGAAGAAAGGGATCGGGCCGGTCGCCCGCGGCGGATATCCGAACTCGTGCGAAAGGGTTATGCGTTTTTTTTTTCGTAGGAGCGGTAGGAAAAAGATAAATATTAATAAAACGGTCTACTCGTCTGAATAACGGACGACGACGAGGAAGGTTTATGCCGTTGTTTTTTTCTCGGTTTTTATTGTCGTTATTATTGTATTTTTTTTTTATCTCGCCACACCGAGACGCGACGTTTAGATCGAGGTTTTATTATCCTCGGCGACGAAGGCGAAGAGAGACGTCTAATCGACGGAAGGGGGAAAAAATTGAATAACCGTCCGAGTGTTAAGTTTAATACTGTGGTCTGTGGCCAATAAGAACCTATTTATTACAATGATAATATTATCATCATAATATAATATAATATTCATGGATCAATACCTGCAGGCGACCACACGTTTATTATTATTTTTTAGATTCTGAGTGAAACAATGAATGTATTGATTTTACAATGATGTTTTTTTTTAAATTTTTAAATTTTTTTTTGTGTCTGTCATCACCTCTCAGGACAGTAAAAATGCTTAGATATTCTTCAACAGTATCTTTTCTGATAGGAAAGTGAATCTAGTTGGTACTTTGGGGGGGGGGGTCCAAAGTAAAAAATGTCCAGTAGTTTTCAAAAGCGGCGTGAAAAACAAAAGAAAAATTAAGGAAAAACGGGAATTCGTACATAAAATCTATTGATGAAAAAATCGATTTTGGTTTTTGGTGAAACTCTTAAACAAATGACCTTAGCAATAAGCAATACCAAAAATTATAAATATCGTAATGTAAGATCGTCGTATTGTCATACTATAATATGTACAGGAAATGAGAATTTTAGTTTTTTTTTTTACCTTTTTTTTACCACCTACCTACTCATAAATTTATAGATTTATTTTATAAATTTCGGGGGGGGGGGGCAATGTATTACGAACTGAGGCCTCTTGGTGGTGCTGAGCATTTAAAAAGTTAATATATACGACATCAGCTATGTACAAATTTAAGCATTGCAGTCAAAGATTCGTTTAGAATTTATTTATAGGGAATTAATTGAAAGCAATAGGTATTTTAAGTTTAATTTTTTGTGATAGGATTAAAAGAGGCTTGAATCAGACCAAACTGCGACTTAAAAAAAACTATTAGGGTTGCATCCTTGGATTATGATATTTCTATAAAATGTATAATATTTTGAAGCAATTTGGCCACTTTTAAAACCAATTTTCTTATATTTTCTAACTGTTTGCTACATTTTTACTCATTTTCAATATTAATGTATGTATTGGATAAG